ATATATATATATATATATATATATATATATATATATATTTATACCAATTTATTTAAAAAAAATGTAGCAGTAAAATTTTTAAAAATGATATTAATTAATTTACTAATTAAATTTTCGCGAATAAATAAAAAAAAAAAAATGTAAAATAAATCAAATATCTTTGTAATCTTTTCTAAAAACAAGACTCAATTTTTAGAATAATTCTCATTTTGTATTTTTGTCTATGAAATCTGCAGTTGAACGAACAAATGCAAAAGTAAATATCGATGCATATAGGGGGGGCCTTTCATCCCCTCTTTTCTCTTCCGCACCTTTCTATTTCCTTCCGGTTCCATCCTGGTGGTCTCGCATGAGGGCACGCAACATGGGTATGCTAACAGATGCCAGGAGTTTGTACGGTTGTGTACATCCATCGAGCTCGTGCGAGCTTTCCAGTCTTCGAACACGCGCGAACAAGTAAACTTCGAAATCGAATCGGATCAAAGATAACATATAATATCTTGTTTTTCACGATGACGTAACTTTCATTGCGATTTGTTGATTTTTTTACACTTCAAAAATAAAACACGTGAAATTGTTAACATGTAAATTGTAAACATAATTATCAAATATATTTTTCATCGATTAATATTATTTATCTTATTATTATGGAAACTAGGAAGTTAGTGTTGTCACGAGCTTTCGTGTGCTGTACGAATGTCATTTTTTTGGTAAGTCCTTTTTTATTTATATAATAATAATGATAAAAAGATATTTTAATAATATGATTTTGCATGTATTCATTATTTGTTGTTTTAAAGAGTAAAAAATTATGAATTTTACTTTAATTTCAGATATCAGGATTTATTCTGATGTCATTAGGAGCATTATTATTAGCCGACAATGAAAGAATTTTGTTGTCACGTTTATTAGGATCCAGCGATATTGAATCTGATCAACCATTATTTTATTATTTGGCTTTTGCCACAGCTGGCTTAGGTTTTTTCATAGCAATGACAAGTATCTTTGGATGTTGGGCAGTTTGTCTTTTCAATCAATGTATTACAATATCGGTAAGTATCTTTTATTCATATAAGAAGAACTTTTGAACCTTAGAATACAAAATGCAACTTTGAATGCAATCTCTAAGAATTATTTTCTAAATTTAGTGTACATTGTGTATAAAGTGAAAAAAAAAAAAAAACAAACTAATTGTAAACAATATTTATCAAATATCAATAAGTTTCAAAGATACAAAATATAATGGAAGTCAAAGAAATTAGATTGAATGATCTGAAAAGAAAAAAAAAAAGTGTAATTCTTTACGATCTGATGCACCCGTAAAAAACAAAGACTCCTTCGGTCTAATGATCGCGTAATTAAACCGATGAAATCTTAACTTTTCTCGATCTAAATGCCAACTACGCAAAGAATACTTTGAGATCGTTCCTCGAGCTTAACTAAAACCAGATTTCCCGCATTTGCACGGCCGTGGTCACGCGTCGTTGCCCGGAAACGGATCTACACGTATCCAGACACGCGTATTCACAAAAGGAGGGCGAGTTCGAGTTCTCCACCTAAAAACTATCATTATTCTGATATAGCTTGTTAACCGAATGCATTTTACAAATGCGAGATATAGAACAACAACAAAAAAATTATATATATATATATATATATAATACATAGAATTGTGATAAGAAAATAATAGAATATGAATGTAAAATAACGGGACTGTTTTGAATTTAATTAGACTTTAAGAGTTAAATAAAAATAACAGTTGTGAACAAGCGAAGCATGAAACTCTACTCGACTGATGGTTACTTTCAAAATTGTATAAATTGTAAAAATATTAACAATATAGTTAGAATAGATTTTTTCTTGTTTTTTTTTTTTTTTCAATTTTAATTAATTCCTATTTGATTGTATTTCAATGTTATCAGATGAATATTAAAACATTTGTTAAATGAAATTATATTTTTAGTATATAGTGACAATAATGTTATTATTACTTGGTGAATGTACTGTATGCATTGTCACTGTATTCTGGCCTTACTTATTGGGAATTGATGTTAGACCGGCACGATTGATAAGAACACTTCAACGTAGTTACGCAGTTCCAGGACGAGAACAATTCACTGCAGCCCTTGACCTAGCACAAACCACGGTACGTAAACATAAAGAATGATTTTTAAATGTTATAATTAAAAAACTTATATGTTATGTCTACCGGAAAGTTCTGTCCATTCTGACAAACACCTGTTCAATTTAAAAAAAATGCAATATACAAATTGTTATCACACTATGATAAGAAATTATAAATAATGATAATTGATAAATATTAATTAGTCAATTAAAGAGATATGAAAATTGATTACTTTTGTTTTATTCTAAAAATCGACAGGAACTTTCCGATAGACCGAATATTAAGTGGACCAGAAAGTAATGTCGCTTCCTAACCTTAAATTCAAACGAAATTTATATTTTTAATCAATAACGTTATTAACAATCTTTTTTCATCTGGTATGCAAATTGTTAATACCGAATCGATAAAGTCAATTAATTTTTAATTAAAATATAAGAATTTATTTTATTACTTTCCAGTCTCCGTAATACTTGACTCAAATAATAACATTATTGTATAATAAATTGATTTATTTACGAGTACTAATATAAAAAGTAATAAATTTAAGTTTCATGTTTTTTTTACAATTCTATCGATTTCATTGAATCTCATCGAATTGTATAGTTTTCCTGTTGCGGAATAAACGGAAGTAATAATTACGGTACTTCATGGTGGAGACTACAGGAAGTTGGTCGAAGAGAATTGGTGGTACCTCTTACATGTTGCACCCTGGATAATGTAAATGAGACGGACTCTTTTCTTAATCCTGAACCTACCAATTTAACTTTTTGTCAAGCTCTCAATCCTGCAGAACATCAATACGCCCGCCACACGACGGTAGGTATAATTAAATATGACATTGATCAAAACGTTTACTGATTTTTTTCAATGTTTCATACATTTTTCATATATTTTTATCAAACTGCACAGCAATGTGTTTAGAATTCATTATCAAATTACATTGACGAAACCCGTATAAAAATGTTGTGACGTGATAACAAACGGACCGTGTCATGCGGGTTGAACTTTTGATAATATTTCATTGTCATTCTCATGTTTTTCTAATAATGTAGAATATTTTTGAAAATATTTCAACGCTAACTTTTTTAGGGATGTTTGGAAATGATTGAAAGATGGACGCAAGAGCAAGCGTTAATCTTACTAGCCATTGGTTTGTCGATTATCTTCGTTGAGGTCAGCGTCCTTTTAAGTACCTTTTTTGCATGCTCGAAAAATAACCAAAGAAAGAATCCTCAAACGTCAACTTTTACTTCCACGCAAACTCTGAGTCCCTTCAATGAAAATGATAATGATTATGGTAATAAAAATATTCTTTTAACAATTATACAAATAAATAGATAAAATATGAAATTATTTCTTATTATTTTAAAGGATTAGGAATAGAAAACAGAATGCATATGTCTGGTACCACGTTTGGAGCCAAATCATGAAGATGGTCAGAGGGCAGCGAGAAGTTGGAAGAAAGAAAAGTGAACGACGAGCACGAATATGATAAATCAACGAGACAAAATGGAAGAAGTATAATCGAGGATTGGAAAGATTCTCCAAAATATGATGAAAATGTTCTTAGAAGTGATCAACTTTACGAGGAACGTGCTGTTGACGTAATCATGGATTATCATCATCATCATCATCATCAACAAGTAGAAAATGTTCCATCAAAATGTAACAAACAACAAAAAGTATCTTCTTTATTAAAAATTGAAATTCCTAATGAAAATGGAGAGAGTAAACAGAGTGTGATAAAAATAAAACGACCACAAGGTGGTGGTACTGTCAGAAGTATTCCAATTAAAGATTATCAATCGTCAATAGCACAAAATATTGGGACTTTAAGAAGATCAATAGCTCCCCAATTACAATTTGAGTCTTTAGTTTCCGAACCTGAAAAGAATATTCCAATAATTCCTTCAAAAAATAGAATATCTATTATTAATCAAAATATCTCGAATATACAGCAACGTTTGATGCTTCCATTAGAGTCTGACAAATCGAATAATCTTGACACTTTGACAAGAAAAGAAAATAATGTTAATAATGGAGAATCCGTGGGAAACATTTGCGATTTCAATGATACCACTAATTACTTTCGCAGATCGTATAGAAAAAGGTTAAGTTCGAATAATCGCAATACGCAAAATAGTAAAAGTGATAAACAGTTTGTACGTACACTTGGTGGTCACGTTGGTCAAAAAATTTACGTTTACGAGGAGAATGCTCGTCGTAGTGAAAGAAATTTCGATTCCATTCTTGAACCAAGAAAACATCGAACCATCGGTGTACCTTTGGTTGGAATGCACAATGCTTGTGGATTACCTGTCATTGCATCTTGGAATGATGCTGAAATTTTTCAACCTCTTCAAACGAATACTACAATGTTAGGAACATTAACCCCTGTTTTAGGTGGACCTAAAGTATCATCCAATATTCGAAAAAGAACATATCCTAAAAGAAGAGCACCTGACCCAACTCGAATCGTTAAACGCAACGATTCTAAAAGATCGACTGAAAATAATACAAGAAGAAAGAAGGATCGTTTATCTTTCAAAACAATTAATCATCCTAATTTGTCCACAAAAAATTCTTTCAAACGAACTGTCCGTGGTGGAAAATATACCCTTGGTAAAACATCATTAACGAATACTTTTGATACAAAATTTCTCAAAGGTAATACAAAAAGAAGAGCCCTATATGCAAAAGATGACGGTGATGAGGCTGTACAAGCTCTGAAAAATTTGTGCTTGAATCCTTTGGCTAGAAACGAATCTCAGGAAGAAATGATGTGGTGATCGAAAAATGTTACATATGGCACATACATATTGTATACAGGTGATCGAGATATAAATTGTTCGTCGATTTAAAACAAATTTGTTAATCAATGTAAATCCTTGCTGCCCTCATTGATAAATTAATTAATTATGTATTTAGTTTAACTCGTTTTATTTATATTAATTAAAAATATGATTTTAATGTAACTTATAAGCATAAGTTCAGAATTTTAGAAATCATTCATTTATATATTAATAATTATATTCAATACCAAAGTTAATTAAAAAATAAACTCAATGCATTATGCATTCGAATTGAAATTTAGTCTTTTTAAAAATTACACACATTGAAGTTGGTAATTTTTAATGTTCTGAAAAAAAAACAAGAAAATATTAATACACAATGCATAAATCAAATGTTTACAAGAAAGAAAAAACAAGTAGAAAATAAGTGAAAGAAGTAGGAAAGGTGTGATGGCTGCTAAGTAAAATTTTAGGTTAGAAACAACCTGTAAATATAATAAAAGTTATTAAAAAACATTATAAGGTAATTAGTTTCTATAAATGAAATGGTGTAGTAAGTAACCAAGAAAAGAAATAAATAAAAAATATGATAATTTGTAAAGTTCAAAGAAACTGATTACACTTATAATGTTTATGGTAAGCGGTCTTTGGCTGGATTTTACTTGCAATGGAATGTAAAACATATAAAAATATGTTAAACATTATATTGAAAGTAAAATACCATTGCCCGGGTCTAACCACGTGGAGGTAACCGCTTCTGAAGACCCAAGAGGGATGTGCATCCTAAAGATGCCCACATCCGAATATAATTCAAAGGAATAAACCTAACTCTTAGGCCCCACCATAAGAGTACCACCATAAAAAATCTTTAGAATTAATTTTATTATTTTTTAAATATCAAAAAATATAAAATGATAAACAAGGAGTGTAAACCTGAAAAGAAATTCAATAGAAATTCGATAGATCAATCATCGATGTTAGTTGGAACTAAAACACCCTAGAATAATTTCAATATATGCACATATGCAAATTAAAAATTATGAAAATTTTATATTTAATTATTTTTAATGTACCTAAAATATAATATAATAAAAATAAATATATATATAATATTAGATGGTACACCTGTAAAACAAAAAAAAAGATATTAAATGCTACCTGCAGAACAAAAGAAGATATTAGATGCTAACTGAAAAAAGAATTAAAATACTTCAGTTATTTTTAAAAATAATTATTTGATATTACCCTTAACCATAATTCAGTATTCTTTTGGTCCATTTCCCCCTCCATTTGAATAGAATTTTACATCATAGTTCATCCTACTAACAAAATATTTAAAAAAATAGGAAAGTTATGGTTCGTGAGTGAAATTCTAGGTAAGGGACATGATTTCTCCCAATTATTGGAGGTAGGACAAAATCATGGCTCGCGTAGGGCAGGGTCGCATCCATGAAGTAGACCTTTCTTTGAGAAGAAACCAAAGAAAGAATCTACCCGCTACCCATTTAAAAAAAGA